CAATAATAGGACAAATCTCCGCCTCTGAGCAGACCTAATAAAAATAATATTGCTAAATCATATCTGGACTATTTGAAAGGTTAAATCTTTTCATGTTAACAAGTTCTCTTAATAGGTTATATAAAGGTTCATTATGGATTCTTTGCAGCTATGAGGTGGCAAAAATCATTATAATAGGAAACTATTCACTAATTATCTGACCCCATTGTTGGCTCTCCCTGCTTAACACCAGAGTCTACCTCATTCATCTTGTCAACTAAATGTTGAATGTCAGTACCATAAAAACACAGACTGCAGAGAGAAGGCATAATCTTGGCAAAGATGAAAGATGACAGGAGGCCTTGAAACTTCCCCCAATCGTATGCAAAGCACTGACAGATGAAGATCTGACAAGAGCTAGACCCACTCACTGTGGAAGAAAATTGACAAGAATGACAACTACTAGATGGGCGTTTCATAAGAGAATGGTTTCAATATCAAAGGAGTGTCTCAAGAAAATGAATGAAGCATTTGAATATTCTTTCAAAAAATCTTTTAAAACTACTAGAAAAGTTAAACATGAAATGAAGAATACCACATCATTTTATCATATAATGTCATAAAATGTATGCCCCCACCCACAAGAGATTCAGCATTTGATTCACTCTTTTTGAGATTCAATTTATTAACTGAAGTTATAACCTAGATTCTGTCATATATTAGATAAAATAACATAAATGTTCATTTTAATGAAGTCCCAATGAAGCTTCCCCCCTCCCACTTACAAAATTCTGTTCCCCTTTCTACGTAGATTGACTTTCAATGCTCTTTTTCCCAAACATATCCTTAAATAACAAGGGCTGTCTACAAATCAATTCTGCCTCAAGGCAGTAGACAAATTTGTATCTACCAAATCGCCTTGTAGAGAAGAAAAAAGAAACAGATCTCATCACAACCTCTGTTAGACTCACACTCATGAAGTAAGAGAACATGACTTGAAGTCAATACACTATCAGACACAAACTCAATCATATGTAAAGCAGCAAATGGATGTTAAAATGGTCTTGTACCATTATATTTCTCCATGTAAAAAGGTATCCAAGAGGTGTCAAATTTCTCTTTCTTTTTACTTCCTAAAACACAGTAACTATTTTGATCTTATTTTTTCCAATACCTTCATATATTATTAATTCTCCTTCTTATCTTTTAATATAATTTTTTTCAGATTTGAGAGATCTATTCCAAACAGGCCTATCATGGATGTAAAGCTGAATTACCAAGTGACATAATGCTTATTAATACTCCCTTGTCGATACAGTTCATTATGACTCCAAAGATTAGAGTTACCATTACAACACCATCAATCAGCCAAAAAGCAGACCAAGACTGAGACTGGTCCTGTTCTATGAAATGAATCAGTGACTCTGATTAAACAGCTAATGAACTTCCCTTTCCAAGCACACTGATCATTGCCCTACAATAACCTTTGGTAGAATATCTTGTGCAATGTACTATATGTTGCATAAGACATGAAACTGAGCTATAATAAATTATACTAATAAAAGGCAGAACTTCAAATATGAGCAATTAAACTCCAGATCTTCTGTAATGGCAGTCACTAGGTAAATGCTGACAAAAACCTAATTTCTTTAATCAACTTACTTTTAAATGGCAAGCTATCAACTTAATCTAAAGAATTAGCTAAGTTTTTATCTGTGTAGGTATAATATTACATGGTGACAAGGAATATAGGGTTTAGAACCAGTCTGTCTATTTTCATATTAAACTCTGCCATCCATTAGTTGTAAGCACTTGGGGTAAGTTATATGGCCCTCATTTTTTAAATCTGTGTAGTGGGGATTATAATACCTCAGCAAACTGTTAAAGGCTCACCAAGTTTGCGTACAATGGAAGATCAGCCTTCCCTCAAAAGGAAAGTGGATGATTGGCAATCAAGGACCAGTGTCCTCTGTCCTAAGCAAATTTGCCCAGGCAAGACTAGAGGAATCTTAGATTTTGATCTTGAATCTTGAGTGATGTAATATAAGGGTGGAAAACATTTTTAGAGCCTATCCATTTTAGTTAGGGCACTGATGAGCCTGCCTACCAGCTTCGGCTGCCTAGACACCCTTGAGAGTGTAGCTTTTCTATTGATTCTGTGAACTACCCCATATCTTTTTAAATTAATTTTTCTTCTAGTTTCTGTGGCTTGAAACTATCTAAACTTAACTGAAGTGATAGAACACCTCCAGTAGACAGGTGCATATATTAGACAAACGGGAACTGCTCAAGGGTAAAATCCTACCACTGAACCAGAGCTTTAAAATACTGCTCATTTGCATAGCATTTTACAGTATTCAAAGTATCTCGTTTGACTCCTGCAATAACCCACATTGTATGTGGGAGAGGTCTGATGCACCATCCCCAAACTAAGGGTTAGAGTCCGGACTAGAGACGAAGTCTGCTCAAAAGTCAGGCTTTTGCACTATGTCATCTGATTTGGGAACCACAGATTTCAATCACTTGTTGACCTAAATTCCGCATAAAGGAATGTAATGATCATTTATAGCACAAAATACTAGGTAGGCAAGATACCTGACAGATTTTACGATAGAAAGCCTTCATTTGATTAATGGGAAAAAAAGACCCTGGGTAATTAAGTGACTTACTTGAAATAAATAATCCACCTAAAGTGGAAATAATGCAAATTCATGGTGTATCAGACTCAGATACCTACCATTCAAGAAATTTTAGTTACTGGAGCAAAGGTGTCATCCCTAAGGTGGTTGTAAAAGGTCTGCAGGAACTCGGGGAAGTAACTAGACAGGGAGCTGTTCCCTAGCCTTAGCTCAAGACTTCTCACCTCAAAGGCTCTTTAAGGAACTCTCTGTTCTTGGTGGACATGCCACCTGACATCTGCCCTTGGCCCTGGCCTAATCCCACTAGAGCTACTCTAAACATACACAAAACTGTCCTGCAAGCTGAGCCTTAATCCTTGTTTGCAATTCAAAGAAAGCCCTTTATCCCCCGTCCCTCCCAGGGCCTGCATTCATCCTATAGAACTACCCCTTGGTCCTGGGCACCTTTGGAGTCCTATCAGAAGCTTCTCCTAAGCTTCCAGGAAGGGACCAGGCCTGAGTACTATAATAGCTTTCCCCACCTCTCTCCAAGGCGGTGGACTGAGATGGGGAATCAGATTCTTATCACAAGTTGCCAACCAGTTGGCTGAGCCTTCCTCCAAGCTGCGTTCCCTCAACATCCCAAAACTCCCCAAAGCAGCATGGCTGTGCTGTGTCTTATGCAATCAATCATATTCAAATCCTACCTCAGTAGAATCTGCACTGCTGCCCTTTTTGAGACCCAACACTCACATGATCTCCTCTGTGCATGCTAGAACTGTAGTCATATCTGATTTCCTGCAGCCCGTTTCCTCTGTCCCGATGCCCCATTTTCCTCTTGCGCTCTGTTTGTTGTAAATACAGTGAGGCTGGTGAGATTGAGGCACGCACTGTTACGGGCTGTATATGGACATAGTATGATCCACACACATTCTTCCTTTGAGTAACTGGCATGCCCAGTGCAAGAAATATCAACACTTTATAAAGAATCTCTTATTTCTGCAGTAGACACAATTTTTAGGATATACCTGAGGAGGAACAAAATTATGACAGATTCCATTTCCCTAGAGTACTGAGAAGAATCTGTGAGGTTTCGTTTGGGGAAAAGGCCTGGCAGATATCAATGAGAAACCCTGCAATTTAAAGCAAGTTCGGTTTTTCTTCCAATGCTCAAGTGACAATAGAACGACAAAAGCAAACTTCAGTCCATTCTTCTCAACCCAGCAGGACAACCACTCCCCAGGAGAGGAATTATCAACATGAATCATTTGTAAAACACACAACCATTTTAATTGACTGAAATAAGTAGCATTCATGCTGAAATACGAGGTCACCCTGGACACTTGAAATGAAAGAATATAGATGAGGAGAAAGCTTAGATCCCAGCTAGCATTTGAAAAGTTTCATGGTGAAGGGTGGATAAATAGGGGAATTCCCGGAGGTCAACGTTTGAGGTTTCTTTGCAGATCTGAGTGGGTATAATTTTAGATCTAAATGGAAACCAACATATTGAAGATATGAAACAAATCAATCAATTATAACGTCTTAAAGATAAAAAGCAATCCACTTGACTTTGTGTGATACATTATTTGGTTGGAAACATTTTAAATCTTCTTTATACCTTTAAAAAAAATCTTAATTGCTTACTTTATAAAAATAAATTATCCTAGTTGAAAGCTCATGCTCTTCTCAATTAAGCCAATTTAAAGACAAAATTTTAGTTTGTGCTTTATATAACACTAAAATAATACAGGGCTCCAACCCCGTGTACTAATGGGGATTCAAAGTTACCATAGATGAAAACATATTACAGATTCTGAATATCACTCTTCGTTTGCTTTATCATTTAAAAAAATCTTTCTCTAATGAATCATAAGTCCATAAAACTTACCATCTTGAATGGACCTTAAAAATCACATCATAGACGGTTCCTTCATTTAAGAAATGAAGAAATTCAAATTTAGAGATTAAGTGAGCTTAAAACGAAATTCCTCATCAAACACCTAATTTAGAATCTGAAAATAACACTATCATAGAACACATATGGAGCATTATTCCCCATCCTTACTCTCTCCAGGATTCAGGCTATGTACTTATGGACCAAAGGAAGGCAGGAAAAAGGATAATCAAGATGCACAAATACTGAACTACCAAAGCTTATAACCCACACAGTATTAGATGGCTCTATCACAAAGCTTTCAGGTTGATGTTAAGTCAATTAAGTGCCACTTTAAAGATATTTAAAAAATAATAATGACAGCACTTTCCAGAAATGGTTACAGCTCTCTGACATTATCTGGGAAAATGACCATTTATGGTTCCATCCAATGTCCACAATTCTACACACAGCATAAGATGTAACAAAACTATTTTAAGCTCCATTGTTGAGTAGAGTGAATGTACCTCCCAGCCTTCAATGTGAGACTGCCATTCCTCTAAGACTTCTAACTTCTCCATCTGCCTCTTGGCCTCGTTGATGTTAGAACAGACAGCTTTCATGGCTTGGAGGGCTTCCATCACTGCTGCATAGTCACTGTGTTTCCTCGGAGTCCGCTTCAGCAACTCCTGTTTATACACAAAAAACAAATCACCCTTTGATCTTCAGCTTTCTGGTACAGCAGGTTCAGACTGACCAGGAAATGAAAACTGCAGAAATCGTGAGAGCCACTTACAGAAGTGACATCACAAACTCCACTAAGATTAAGATTAAAAAGGAAAGGTTGAACCAATGGATATGCGTCACTCTGATACACATCTTGCAGCTCCTTTAATTTTTGGCCTTCAAACTATTTTGTTTTCAGAAACTAAATTAGATTTCTCCTTTCAAATTGTCAACTATCTCACCGGCAGCATGTAATTTTTTCATAAGATTGACCGCTGTTCCAACAGAACTACAACTTTGTATGTCTTCCTAGAGTCTTTAACAGAACAGTAAGCCTTTAAATAAATATGTCCCATAATTTCAAAAATAATTTAAATGCCTTATTTTCTAATACACTTTTGAGAAACTATAAAAACATGTCAGAAGTAAAGCAAAATTTTTAAATAATGTCTTACACTCTAGCAAAATAAATTTATAAGTTCCACGATACTCCATCACTAAAGGAACAATTTACGCTATTTTCACCAATAACTCAGGTTCATTTTCTGCAATGAATGAATTGCCATATGCCCCTCAAGAGCTTTTTTTTGTTTTGTTTTGATTTGGGGTTTTTTTTTGGCATTTTATGGTTTTTTCCATTCAGGATATCAGAACAAGAGTGATCTTTAATCTTTTAAATATATTAAAAGGTTCTGTTTGTTGTTTAGAAGCACAAAATTAAACATATTCAGCCACTGTCTAGACAGTTGTAACCACATTGCTTTTTAATTAGTCATTTGTTTCTTTACTACAGTTGCCATCATCATGTAACTAACACAATCACAGAAATCCTGAGGCAAGTCTTCAAAAGAATTTCCTTAATTCTTAACATACAGTGGGAAAATATGCAGTTGTTATGCTCTCTTGAGGTCTGTTACTGTTGAAAATGCTGCCATACACTTTGACCCTGCATTCAGTATGTTCACACTCTGTTCTGTGGAGCTAACACCCAAGACAAGATTTAAAAACTTATGTTGGGGTGGTGCCTGGGTGGCTCAGTCGTTAAGCATCTGCCTTCAGCTCGGGTCATGATCCCAGGGTCCTGGGATCGAGCCCCGCATCGGGCTCCCTGCTTGACGGGAAGCCTGCTTCTCCCTCTGCCACTCCCCCTGCTTGTGTTCCCTCTCTCGCTGTGTCTCTCTCTGTCAAATAAATAAAATCTTAAAAAAAAAATCAAAAAACTTATGTTGGGGGCGCCTGGGTGGCTCAGTCGGTTAAGCGACTGCCTTCGGCTCAGGTCATGATCCTGGAGTCCCGGGAGTCCCTGCTCGGCAGGGAGTCTGCTTCTTCCTCTGACCCTCCCCCCTCTCATGCTCTCTCTCAAATAAATAAATAAAATCTTTTTAAAAATAAATAAATAAATAAATAAATAAATAAATAAAACCCTGTGCTGCTTGGCCAAACCAATAATTTCAAGTTCCACAAATACGACCTTTTCTTTAACACACAGCCTAATCCCCTAATGTTTTTCTCTGAATAAATAAAACCATCCAAAATCAAAGAGATTATCAGCACAGTGGTACAACAACAACAAAACTATCAACACCAACTTATCTACTACACCAGTGAATAGTTTCTTCACGTTTCTTTGTGAAGATAATCATCCAAAGAGGGGGAAAGATGTCATCTTTCCACTTCTCGAAGGTGCTCTGAGTTGATCTTTTTCTTCCAAAGCAAGGATGTGTCCATGATTCTATCTTTTGAGAAGTCAGCTCAGCCAACCCCATCCGGTGGTCATCCCTATCCAGAAGCGATTTAGAACGACTACCTAGCATGATGTGTTTCTCTTAATATCACTATCCCTTCTGACTCTTAAAACAAACAAATGCCCGGGATTCCAAAATCAGGTCCAGGAATAGCTGAAGCGATCTGAGTCACCAAGTCAGGAGTCTGAAAGGACTCTCAAAGATAGGAGTCAGGTTTGCACCAAACATCCTAACCTTCTGAAGACCACACTAAAGCTCTGCAGAACTGGACATACCCATGTTAGCTTCTCTCTACGGCTTAACCAAGCAATTTTAACTTGCTTTTTAATAAGGAGAAATTGTTTTCAAAGAAATTTTAACAAAAACCCAGTTATGCAACTCACGGAAGTTGTAGTTAAAAAAATGTATTTTTAGCTCAAATTCCTTACATTTGTTTCTCAAAAAGTAAATCAATAAGAACACCAGTTAATATGTGCATAGCATATTGGAGTATTTTAAAAATTTAGAGAGCAAGTAGTAGTTAATCTATTAAAATAAATCAGAATCAAATATATTTGAGTAATAATAGCTAACATATGGAGTACATGCTGTGCTAAATGATTTGCATAAAACAGTTCAATTACTTTTTTTTTTTTTAATTTATTTGAGACAGAGAGAATGAGAGAGAGAGAGAGCACATGAGAGGGGGGAGGGTCAGAGGGAGAAGCAGGCTCCTTGCTGAGCAGGGAGCCCGATGTGGGACTCGATCCAGGGACTCCAGGATCATGACCTGAGCCGAAGGCAGTCGCTTAACCAACTGAGCCACCCAGGCGCCCCTCAATTACTATTTTTATGTAATACCTTTTCCATATGCATATATATGTATATACACACATACACAAACAGATATACATATCCATTATACACATTCTTGCAGATATATGCTACAATTCCATCATCATTATTTCTGTTTCATTAATAAAAAGCCAAGGTTTTAAGGGGTTAGATTATGTGTTCAGTCACACAGCTAGTAAGCAGAATACTTAGGATTTGAACTCAGAGCTCATGTGCTCAACCACTATCCCAAACTGCCTATCCTGCTGTTATAGTTCCAAAACCACCATTTCCAGAATTGCTATTCTAATCTATTCGCATGCTTTTGCAGTACAAGCATAATTAGCACATTATAATATGTTTTTCACAATAACACTTTTGGTCATTGTAATGAGGCAATGGGGCCTACGACCATTAATGGGACATATCCTGTCATCCAGAGGCAGCATTTGCTTAGCACTGTCATTCCACATCCTATCATTTATTGTCCCACGTGACCCATACCATTCCCTATAATACTGATTCAAAAATCAAGCTCTGAAATTATGTAATCTTCACTTTAACTTCATTAGCATCAAGAAGACACCAATGTTAGGGGAAGCCAAAAAATACACCAACAGTAGATTTACTTAAGATAAAGAACCCTGTAGATAAAATGCGATATAAACTGGTCATAAGGTACTTAATGGGATCTATCTTGAAACTAATGCATTTACTCTAAATAAAACTCAAACAAGTATGTTTTCTACAAAGAGCACTAAAAGTCTCTTTTCCCAAAAGATTTGTTTCCTAATCTATACATATGTGACAAAATAGCTATTTTCCCTAGTAACCATGATCTGCCCTTTCTTTAGAAAATCAGATTATTTAAAACAAAAATTTTTTAAAGACCATCAGCAAAATATACAGGTGCAAGGAAAATACTACAGTGAAATAAACACATAAAATACCTTCAAAAGGAGAGGGTACTTGCAAATTCTTTGTATTGGTGTTACTAAATATCCTTCCAGGGGAACATCTGTGTTCTTCCGTCCTCCAAGTAGCATGCAGTTCTGCAGTGGAGATAAAAATAATTACGATTTTTTAAACCTGAAGCCATGAAATTTTCTTCTATCATAAAATTTTCTGCTAAAACTTGTGAAAGCCTGTCTCCATACAGTTTCTTTCTCTGAGATGAGCCCTTGCAATCACAAATACCATTTACAGAAGACAAAGAGAAGTATTTTTCCATTTCGTATTAGTTATAGAAATCAAAATGTTTTGAATATTAATTATTATATATTCTCCTGACTATGAAGTCTGAGGAAAAAGAGATAGGATAGAGACGGAGGAATAGATAGATGAGTGGGTAGATGGATGGATGGATGGACAGACAGATGAATGGACTGATGGATGAATAAGTAATAGACACAAAGATACACAGATCAATCCTACTTATATAGGGAGTTGTGTTGTAGTTGAATTGTGGTGTTGTGTTGTGGGGTAAAGAGCAGGCCTAGAGACAACTGGGTTCTATACGTGCTTTGCCACTGACTAGTGATGTAACTTGGGTTGATTTCAGAATGCTAGTTTTCCTGCCTGTAAACCTGTCAAACTGTCATGTTTCAACGAAGTGATTGCTAAGTCACTTTCAGCTATAACACCTCACCAATGAAACTGGCCAGCCAATCTCAGAGAAGGAGGTCAGATATGATCCCCAGAGAGGCAAGATGAATGGAGAAATCTCAAAATCAGCAGAGTAAGATGAAATAGAAGAGAAAATCAACTCTCATTTAAAAAAAAAAAAAGCCTGAAGCATCTGGTCTTTAGTTTATAGTTTGACCATCAATAAAAAAAAGATTTGAAACTTGTGCCAAATCCTGCTTCTGCAATGTCTATCAGAGTAACTGGCAAAAAGAAAGCAGTTAACAAATACGTAGTAAAGGGAGAAAAGGGCCCCTCAAATATCATACTGATGATTCATCAACCTTTAGACCACCATTTTAAGACTACTACTGTCCTATATTCATTGAGAAGAGAGACCAAGTGCTGAGCAGGAAAGGATGAAAAGGAAAGACTGAGGGTAGCAGAACAACCGCCCCACTGACCTGAGCAACTTGGCTTTAGCAGCAATTTGTGTATTCAAGTCAGCAAAACTAACACCATGACTTTAACTTCACCCAGGCACTTTAGAAGACGGGGCAGCAAAGAAGTGTTCTGACTCAAGCATGCTCTTTGAGGGCCTCATCCCCTATTGCAATCAGTTTATCAAAATATTCTTTCCAACTCTGCATGGTATTGTCCCCAGGGGAGCCATATGAAACACATCTATGTACATCTCACTATATTTCCAGTGATGTTTCAGTATCCCTACACAAGTTAGCACCCCTTACAAATGCGGCCACCCCCTTTACCTAGCTCTGGGTTGAAGCACCCTAAGAAATTCATGACGGCTTAACACACTGTTAATTCCTTGTCTAATAGTACGGTATAGATTATGAACTGTCTTCATAATAGCAGACATTGGTTGCCACTTTAGACTGGCTTATGAAAGCCAGTTCTCTCCTAATGTGTACATAAAGAATGTCTTCTCCCTGAGCTCCCAGAGATTTCCCTGATGATGACAACTTATTGAGGTGGCAGCATATCCAAGTACTCCAAATAATACCACCACCAAATCTGTAAACTCTTACCAGTTTTCCCAAGGGTGATTGTTATTATCCCTATTTTATGGAGATGGAAAATGACACCAGCAATATAATGAATTTCCTAAAGTCATTCGGGTAATTAGCGGCCACTGAGTGCCAGGGCAGGAATTATAAAAGCCCAGGTTTGCTACCAGACTGTGCTGTAGGATCATCTAAAAACCAGCACTCCTCTGAGACTACTGGCAGGGCTTGACACAATTCAGTCAATAAACTAGACCAAGGCAAACAGTCAGCTCTGCTGAGAGCTAAATGGATTCACTAAGACGACAAAGTTCTAACACTTTATATAAAGGGCCCTAAAATTTTAGTGGCATAGGAGCTTCTTCTGGCTGTGGCAGAGAAAAGGGATCAGTAAATCCTCTTCCCAAAAAACAACCAATACTCAGCAAAATTGTCAAAGATATCAATTTCAGGGCTCTGGAAATCAACTAAAGTCAAACAAAAAATTGAGATGTGTTTATTCATGAAAAGCTGCTGAATTTTCAGGTAAGAACGGTGGGAGTCTATGGCATCCTCACCTGAGCTTCTCCCACCTTCCCCCTGCCTCCCCCTACCCCACCTTCCCCAGCGCACCCTGAACAGTGGCTCTATTGCGGTGGCCCCATGACAGGGGCCCTGAAAACCGGATGGGGCTTCCAGATGGGGCTGCAGAGAATAAAAGTCTCACACCTGGGGGTGTTGCCAATAAAATGAGCACACTCCATAAGAAAAATGGAGAATGCCCACAGTTCTGTTAGCCTGAGATTGCAGCCCTCCTTGGAGCAGGTGCCAGACTGTGCACATGCAGAAAACACCCAAGGGGAGGGGGGGGATCCCCAGCGAAAGAAAAATCCAGATCTGACTTGAAAACTGCCTGCCCTCTGAATGTCTCCCCCACCCCCCAAACTCACACATAGATCCACAGACAAGACAGTTAACTGACAAATCACCAACTGAACTAAGTTAAACAGTCACTGGAGTGACCCCTAAAAAGAAAGGCTAAATTATAAAGAGTAGAGATAACAGCTGCACATACATGAGTCACAGGTCCTCAAATCAAGTCCAGGGAAGTTACTAAAAACAAAACAAAACAAACAAAAAACAATAACCAACCTCAGGAAATAGACTTGATAAATTAAGATGAATATTGTTCTTAGAGCAATCACCCCCCCCAAAAAAACCTAAAATACATAGTTTAAAAAAATCAACAGAGGAAGTAAAATAGTACACTAAGGAAGGTAAAGGAGGAACAGAGGAACAACAACAACAAAAGAAAAAAACACATACAGAAAAAATGATAAAATGGTACATGTCAATACAACGATATCAATAATTACATTAAAGATCAATGAATGGAACACTCCAATCAAAAGGCAGAGATTGTCAGGCTGGATAAAAAAGTAAGATCCGTAATGATGTACTATACATTGGCTAACTGAATTTAAATAAAATAAAATTTTTTAAAAAAGCAAGATACGACTATATACTGTCTTCCAGGGGCATGTTTTAGATTGAAAGACATAACTAGTTTGTAAGGAAAATAATGGAAAAAGATATAACATACAAACAGTACAAGAAGTGTCATGGTTATAATAATATGAGGCAAAATAGACTTTAAGAAAAGAAATATCCCTAGGGACAAAGAAAAACATTTTATGATCAATAGAAATATAAATACAAGCACTTTCAATGAATACATATTTAACAACAGAGCCCCAAAACACTTAAAACAAAAACTGACATAACTGAAAGGCAAGACAGACAATTTAACAATTATACCTATAGATTTCAATATCCTACCCTCAGTAACTGACAGAACACCTAGAGGAAAGGACAAAGAAGACAGAAACAGCACTATGAACAAAAATGACCTAACATTTATAGAACACTCCGCCCAACAGCAGCAGAATATGCATAGTTTTTAAGCACACATGGAACATACAGAGGAAAAAAAAAAAAACAAAAAACTCCAGGACAGACCATATGCTAAGCCATAAAAATGCCTTAAAATGATTTAAATATGTTCTCTGGCCAGAATGGAATTAAATTTAAAAAATCAACTACAGAAAGAAATTTGGAAAATTCCAATATTGGGAAATAAAATAACAGAATGTTAAAACTGATGATTCTAAGACTTTACCCTACCTGCAAGCTCAAAAGTTAACCTGCCAGAGATTTATGGGTGCTGGAAGAACACATGACACTCCTAGGCCAGAGCTATAGGACTTTTTTTTTTTTTAAAGATTTTATTTATTTATTTGAGAGAGAGAGAATGAGAGAGAGAGAACACATGAGAGGGGATAGGGTCAGAGGACGAAGCAGACTCCCTGCCGAGCAGGGAGCCCGATGCGGGACTCGATCCCGGGACTCCAGGATCATGACCTGAGCCGAAGGCAGTCGCTTAACCAACTGAGCCACTCAGGCGCCCTATAGGACTTTTTTTCCTTATAGCAATAGCGGTAGCCAGAGTATCACTATTTTGGGGCCAGTTTCCCACGGCTCAGTTCCCACATCGCAAGACAAGGAAGACCAGGTGGCCCATGCACATGGACACCAGGAGAGGAGACCTGAAGCGAAGAAACGTGTATCTTTCATGAGGGCAGCCGGCGTGACTGCCCGCCTCTTAGGAGGAAGAGAATATCTCTACCTTCTGAGGCTGTTGGTGATATAAACATCCTTTAAAAGATTGGCCAGAACAAAGGCAGTCAGTTCCTCTGCTCAGAAAATGTGCAGGGACACAAGTCCCATGCAGAACTGCCTTCCAAGACAAACTCTAAATAAAGAATAGACTAAAGATATTACAAAGGAAACTAGACATTCTCGAAAACTGAATGAAAATGAAAACACATGTCAAATTTTATGGAATAAAACTAACGCAGTGTGTAGGGCAAAATTCATAGCTTTAAACACCTATATTGGAAAAGGCAAAAAGGTCACAATAAAAACTCTTAACAAACTATGAATATAGTAGAACTTCTTCAAGCAGAAAAGGATATCTGCAAATAAACCTACAGCTAACATCACATTTAATGATGAAAAACTGATTTCCCCCTAAGATCAGAAAAAAGGCAGGCATGTCTGTTCTTACCACTTCCATTCTACATTGTACTGGTTCTAACCAGTGCAAAAGCCCAGGTTAAAAAAAAAAAAAAAAAAAAAAAGACATCTATATTGAAAAGGAAGTAATAAAACTGTCTTTACTCTCGGATGACACGATCCCATATGTAAAATATCCTAGAGAATCTACAAAAAAAACCCTACTAGAACAATACATGAATTTAAACCACAGAATACAAAAATATACAATAAACAAAAATAAGTAAAAGTCAAATGTTTATATGGTAGCAATGAACAATCCAAAAAAATGAAATTAAGATCATTCCAATTACGACTGCATCAAAAAGAGTAAAACACTTGGTAATAAACTTAACAAAGTATAAGACCCAAATACAGACTTCTTAAATATAACAAAAACATGTTCATATGGAAAAAATTTAATAAATCGGACTTCAATAAAAGGTAAGAATTTTGATTTTCAAAAGATAACATTTTTAAACGAACAAACCACACTGGGTGGAAATATTCACAAATTATATATCAGATACAGTAGCTGTCTCCAAAATAAAAAACATTTATAGCTCAATAAGATAAACATCTCAATTTAAAAATGGACAAAAGATTTGAATAAGCATTTCACCAACAGGATATGCGGAATGGCTAATAAGAACCTAGAAAGCATGCCTGATATCACTGGCCATGAGAGAAATGCAAATAACAATAACCTTGAGATAAACTACACATCCACTATCACAGCTATACTTGGAACTGGTAATACCATGTGTTTGCAAAGATAAAAAGAAACTGCAATCATCATACATTGCTGGGGTATATGGCACAGTCACTTTGGCAGTTTCTTAAACATAAACTTACTGTGACCTAGCAGTTCCACTCTTAGCATCTACCCAAGAGAATGAAAATTATTCACACAAAAACTTGCACGTGAATGTTCATCTCAGCATTGTTTATAAAATAGCTCAAAATGGACATTTCCTGACTTTTCTGTACTAATAACTATCTCTCTCTGAAATGATCTTCAAGGTCCATTATTAATCATACTTGCTTGCTGACCCAATGTTCATACACTGGCAAATAGATAAACAAAATATGGTATATCCTAATACAATGGGATACTATTCAGCAATAAAAATGAATGGCATATGGATATATGCTATAATGAGGATGAACCTCAAAACATTTTACTCAATAAACGAATCCAGGCAAAAAAAAGTACATTGAAGGATTCCATTTATACGAACTATCCAGAAAAGGCAAACTATGGAGATCGAAAGTAAATCAAATGATTGCCTAGAGTTCACGGTGGTTGCAGAGTGGGCGGTGAACAAGCATGAGGGACTTTTTGGGGTGCTGGAAATCTCTATAACTGGATAATGGGGATGGTTGCTCCACTCCACAATTTGCTAAATATTATTGAATTGTACAATTACGATGTGGTCCTCACTGGCAATTGTCCAAATTACTACCAAAATATGCATTTTGGAGAAATTAAATATATATTCTTGTTCTTTCTGTGAAAAGTGAATAAGGAATGTATGTAGAAGAAAGACCTATCTTTAAATTTCTTTTCTACAATACCCAGGATCTGTTTCCTTCCTGTGACCGCCCCACTTACAGCTCTCTTAGCAAAAGTAAATGAAACCCTAGGGAGCTGAGGGATATAAAAGCGATGATGAACTCTGGCATAAACGTCTTCTCGCACTAGGAATCTGTGGTTCTCACAAACAATTCATAGTCAACCAGGAGAGGGCATTATCAGTGTTTTCCCATGCACAAGCTTCTGCCAACTCTCCCTTCTTACATTTATCAAAGGACTCTAGTCTCCTAGCCTGGACACATTTAGAGCATTGCTCCACGAGTAGTTTTTACACCACACTGATGCTAGTCGTTGGCTCCTTAGTGAGCCTATCAACAAATCACAGCATATGGTAACACTTAAACATATACTTACCAAAAGAAATGTGCGGATTGTTCTTATTTTGTTAAGTTCAAGAAGCAATTTCTGTGCCTTCTCATGGTTACTACAATATTCATCGTAGATACGAAACTTGTCTTTCTGTGAATTCGAATAAGGATAAGTTAGAGTCATGTTAGTAGCCATTTGGAAAGATTAACCTGTGTGATGTTTGTGGACAAGCTTTATGTGTCCAAAGCGTTTACTATATTTACTATATTTTGGGAGCTCTACAGTTTATTTATCAATTTTCTCTGATCCATGAAGAATAGCCTAGGAAAAAAGATACCTTATATTAACTAGAGTCCAATATGATGTATGCAATAATAAGTAAATGAACCAAACAGTAGCAAATTACAGAGAAGAAAGTACTTAGCTTTCCTGAGAGGATCCAGATACAGCTTTAAAAAAAAAAAAGTAATACCTGAGCAAGGTCCAGAGAGATGAATCAATCCATCATTCCCAGGCAGGGAGAGGGAAGGAAGCATTTTAGGGAGAGGGAAAAGCATGTGCCAGATCATACAGGAATAGAGAGACCTAGTATCCTGTAGTTTGTATGCACCAATCTGGACAGCTGTGTTTATGAGGGACATGGACAAACAGGAGAGTATCAAGCAAAAAGTGACTAAGATAATGATGGACTTTGGAGACACTACACGTGAGAGGTCATTTCAAACAGAGATATTTGTTAGTATAATAAAGTAAGGAAATGATAGCTACTTTCAGATAGCTGTCATATTGTAACAGACTTAAAACTCTATGTAGCTCCAAAGCACAAAACTAAGACCCCTGGGTAGAAATTGCCAGGGCAATCAATGATGGGCAACGGCAGGCAGATTCAGGATTAACATAAAGATTCTCTAACGCTTGGAGCTGTCACTAAAAATGATCAAGTTAGGAACAAAATAAACAACCCTCACATTTGCAACAGAAGAGGTACTTTCGAAGAGGGAGTAATTTCACCATCATGATCTCTAAGTACCCTTCCATCATTAGATTTTCTCTCAGTGGCTAGGATCAGTATCTATCAAAGCAGTACCAATAAGAGGAAGACACAGAAAACGTATCAATCAAATACTGGAACAGAAGTGTGTCCTCTGAAATTTCTAAGACATGCATTTGGAAAGCAACACTGAGTGCTATTTTATATAGCCAGTAGAAAATATACTGAATTGCTTATTTCAAGAGATGGTATGACCCAGAATGAAACACACTTCAAAAATAGTTTAGCGAAATTCATGGATGACAGATTCATAGTGTGTTACTGAGGAAATGGATGTCAGGGTGCAAGATTCCCATGTGCAGTCCTGGACTAAGAAAGCAAATGCTCCAGCTGGCAGAAGATTTGAATTCTTTCATGAAAAGGAACAGTCTGGATTAAGTGGACACAAACATGCATGGTTTCCAGTCATGCCCAAAGAAAGCATGGCTTGATCTTCCTATGCCAAGGAGCTTCTCTCCATTTAATATTAATTACCTTTATGAAATATTTCCTGATTATAAAAAGAACATATGCAGCATCTGCTCACTACATATAGAAATACAGACCTAGAAACTATATATCAATACCTTTCTAAAGGCTAAACAGAAATAAAAATAAACAAAAATTGATTTCTATGATAAAATACTCTTATGCATTTTTAAATAAAAGATTAATTATACAGCATTTTGGTAAAGAAAGGAATTCAGGTGGGTATTCTGAAAATTAGCATCAGTGGAATGGTATAAATAGCACTTTTTTTTTTTTTTTTTTGGTATGAATGCCCTTTAGTTCTGAAAACAATTTTCATTTTACAGGTGTCTTTTTACTTTATAAATCAATTGCACAAATAATTTCAACTACCATGTCCAAAGAGATGGAAATGATCACACGAGCGTGACGTGTAAGAAACAACTGAGGACTGGCTGGTTTTTCTTCTGCACCACTCAGTACAACCTTCTGAGAAACCATCCTTGAGAAACACTGAGACTCAGGCATCTGTGTACCTAGAGTGACACGGCTGATTCACCTGCAGGCTTGTCACCAGTCGATTAACAAGGAACATTCTGACTCACAAAAGGCTCATCATGCCATTATAAGAGTAAGGATTTTCTGCCTCAAAAGGGATATGCTCTATGTTTGAGAGAAACATAAAAATCCATTCATTATGAACAGCCTGAATATTCATTAGAATTCAAAGCTACAGAGGATGCGAAGAACTAACTTGTTGGGAAAAAGAAAAGGCTGTTTATTCTTCACTGAATAAAATGGATCACCCCTTTTCTGGCTCTCAGTGGAAGGTTTCATTGGCCTTAAAAGACCCCAAACTTTTGGTGTTACATTTTACTTCTAATGCTGAATTCTCACATTCTACTGTGCCAAAAGCTAAACCTTAAAATCGGGAGTGGGGGTGGGGAAGAGCTTTTAAAATAAACAGAAACTGATCCTACAAAGTGAAGAAAGCAGGTTCCCACTTCTTGTTGAGCGTTAGGTTCTGGATGTAGGCATTCTTCCACGACTTTTAAAAATTCCTTATGTACAGCGAGGATATCTTCAATGTTTGAGAACAGCATCTGCAAATAAATGTAAGTAAGTGCAATAGTGAAGCAGTTTAAAAAAAAAAACAAAAAAACCCCCCACAAAACTCCATGAGAGTACAGCATTCTCTCTCCAAGCTGAAAACTTTGGGGCATAGCTATCCTTCCCACCTGCCCAGAGGGCAGAGCTCCAATTTTGTCTGGACATCCTTTCCACTCCCACACAACTCTGGGAACCAGGAACCTATTCCTGGCTCTCAGGAAAAGCCTGAGTGACTAAATCCAAGCATGACAGTCCCCACCCCATTAGTGAGAATGGGTGGCAGATAACCTAGTGCAGGCGGACTTGCTGGCAGGCTTTTGGGGGCAAGGGCTTCTTTGCTCTCTGGAAGGGCATCCTGGAATGGACAGCCCTCTTCCCCTCTGGAAAGGGGCTGTGTCTGAAGTGACAGCTGGGCAGCTACAGGGTCAGCGGCGAGAGGAGCCAGACAAGGGGCAAAGCGGATAACCTGGATGGCAAAGTGAAGAGCTAGACAGAACCTGGCAAACTTATTGATCTCCCTGAGTCACAGGTCCTGAACCTTCTCTTCTGTCTGGAGTCCCCAAATGAGAGCCGAAGTATCTTCAAGCCATTTGAATAATAAGTGTCTTTTGCTTGCAACTTAAAGCATGCAAACTAAAATGCTCCCATGGTAAGGATAATTTGAAAGTTAGTATTTAATTTATGAAAAAATAGTCAGAAGGGCTTATAAAAATCCTTGGGAATTTTTTTTAGTAAAATAAAACGGCAAATCAGCACCAAAAATAAATATCAATGATAATTTATACAGTTTAAATGAATAATGATGGGGGGCGCCTGGGTGGCTCAGTCGTTAAGCGTCTGCCTTCGGCTCAGGTCATGATCCCAGGGTCCTGGGATCGAGCCCCGCGTCGGGCTCCCTGCTCAGCGGGGAGCCTGCTTCTCCCTCTGCCACTCCCCCTGCTTGTGTTCCCTCTCTTGCTGTGTCTCTCTCTGTCAAATAAATAAATAAAATCTTTAAAAAATAAAATAAAATAAAATAAATGAATAATGATGGTAGTACAATTAATTTTCATTTACGTCTTCCCCCTTTACAAAACTCATCATTTTCCTTCCCTGCAGCCTCAAAGGAAAGGCTTATACATTTGTTTCTGAGCTGAAGATATTATGCAGACGTTTTCTGCACCATTGAACCATCCAAATCGTTTGTTCTTGGTGATCAGAGACTGGTAGTCAAATCTGTCCACATCTTGCCTTCCCAAGACGCCTCTGGCAATGCTCTCACACAGGCTCTGCCCCCACCCCCCACAGACGCTGAGATTCTCAGTTGTGGGTTTGTTTTTCTTCCTCTTCTCAAACTGTCCTAAGGCCTTGGCAAAAAATTGCTCCATGTCTTCTACACCATCCTCATCACCCTGTTTCTCTTCCCAAACCCTCGTTTCCCTTTTTCTCAGGGTTGCCCATTTAAGTGACTGGCGCAGAACTTATCCTGGAACAGAGGAGAAGCTGAAGAGCCTAGAGTAACATCCCACAGATGAAATTTTAGCTAAAGGGGAATGTGCACTTGGGTTGAGGGCCAACTGCGCCTCCTCACCTTCACTGTTTCTTCTGTTACATTTTTGTCAATTTTTGATGCGGCATACTGGTTCATTCGGTGTAAGAATGCCTGCATGAAACAAAAAAAAAGATATTGTGAAGGCAACATTACGTTAATAAAATAACAGGGTGTTGATCAGAACTAAATTTCTTATAGGAAACCAGAGTTAAAAATCCAATAACTACTGAGAATAATAGTTTTGTGGTAAAGGGTGAAACCCGGGTTCACTGTGGCTCCTCCCTGGGAATTAAATCCTTCAGAGTTTTGGGGCAGGACCAAAAGTGATCATGTATATATGAACTAAATTTATCTACTATGATCTCAACGTTCTGTGGTAAACACTTAAGAGTCAAATGTTTCCTAAACTTCTAAATCTAATGAAAAATGGGATTTCTGATAAAAAAAAGGCAGAGGGCAGAAATTCCAAAGTGACCCTTTTGGAACTGAGAGAGATTGAGGGAAGGAGATAGGGAGGAAGAGACAGAAAGAGATAGAAAGAGAAGGAAAGACAGAGAGAGAGAGAGTGACTCTTCAAGAAGGAATGAAAGGATTTCCTTTCTCTTCCTACGTACCCCCTCCCAAGTTTTAGAAAGCCAGATTTTGTATTTCTGGGATCAGGTCAGGGCTCCCCCCATAGCCCTACGGCAAGCAAGTAAGTTCCTTAGTATTTCAAAGATCTGGATTCTTCTTAATAAGTCATTAACCTTGGACCCATGACCAAATAAGCTATTATTTTTGCAAAGGAAAAGAAGAGTAGAAAGAGCTATTTATATTGGGTCTTAAAAGAGAAAGTTTGGAAGGAAAAGGAGAAGTGACTTTCCATCCAGCAAATCTGGCTTGTGTCTCCAAGACATTGTTCATTAACCACCTAGTGACCAGGTGAAATCATTGTTTCCCTTGTCTGTCTTAAGAACGTCAGGCATACCAACCAAGTTAGGGTATGACCACACAGCCCACCAATCCCCAGGGCATACAGAGTCTCCAGGGAATCTCTGGATACTACATCAAACAAATGAAGATTAAAGTAAGAATCCCATTTTTGACATGCTATATTTACAAAGATTTAAGAGATTAAGCAAACCCAGTATTGTTCATAATGTTCCAAAGTTATCACCTTCAAGGACATTACTAGTAAGAGTATAAAATGGCACAGGGGCGCCTGGGTGAGTCAGTCGGTTAGGTGTCCAACTCTTACTTTCAGCTCAGGTCATGATCTCTGGGTTGTGAGATGGAGCCGCCCATCAGGCTCCATGCTGAGTGTGAAGCCTACTTAAGATTCCCTCTCTCCTTCTGCCTCTGCCCCCCCCCTAAAAAAAAGAGGGGGGTATAAAATGGCACAACATTTCTGGGAACAACTTGACAATATATCTCAAATTTTTAAATGGGCATACCCTTTAACCCAGAAATTCTTCTTCCAGGAATTTATCCCAAGAAAACTTTCAGGCAAGGGGTTACAGTATATTGATTACAAAAGCGGAAACAGTGGAAACAACCTAAATGCCCCTTAATAAGGGAATCAATTTTATTATGGTACATGCAAATTACAAAATACTATGCAGAACTATAATCATAAATGGAATGTGATAAAAAATTTTATAGAAATATATATAAACAGGGCGCCTGGGTGGCTCAGTTGGTTAAGCGACTGCCTTCGGCTCAGGTCATGATCCTGGAGTCCCGGGATCGAGTCCCGCGTCGGGCTCCCTGCTCGGCAGGGAGTCTGCTTCTCCCTCTGACCCTCCCCCCTCTCGTGTGCTCTCTCTCATTCTCCCTCTCAAATAAATAAATAAAATCTTTAAAAAAAAAAATATATATATATAAACAGATGTCTATAAAATATTGTTTGGTGAACAAATTTACTAAGCAGCTTTCTTGATAGGTACACACATATATGTACACACATATACATATTACATACAAGTATGTATACATAAATATACTTGTGTAATGGCAGTGTGCATTCATACTACGAGAAAATATGTAGCATATATCAAAATGCAGCAATGTGACCTTAGTACACTTTCTCATGCTCAGAATTTTTGGCTGTGAGCATACTATAACTTTAGTAAAAGGAAAAACAAAACTATTTAAAAGAAAACAAATGAGCCAGAGGATCTCATTGCTAGCATTAGCTTCAGCCCCATCTCTATTCCCGATTCAATCTGTTCATGTTTCAGTCTATAAGTACAAAGCCACATCAGTACTAATAGCCTCAACAGAATGAAATAATTCAGCTGAATTAAATAAGTTGACTAAGAAAGTATTGGATGTCACCTTATTTTTTTATTGGAGACATGTGACATGATTTTTGAACTATTATCTAAAGGAGGTGTAATTGTTGATGAAAAGAGATTTTGAATTTTCTGACTTTGCCCATTTTAATTAGTATCAGTCTAATCTTCAATTTTAGATTTGGTTTTATTGACTCTTTTCCATTCTAAAAATGCTCCGTTAGTTCTTTCCATTTAGTCTTAAAATAACATGGTGGTGTAGTCGCCTAGTTTACATTTCGTGTTGACCACACAGTAAACAGGTAATCTCTCGTGCAAGCAAAGCTGAAAGTTCACCTCTACATTTATAAACCTTTTCTTCATGAACTGAACTCAGTCACATTCTGAAGCTCATAAATTAAAGTTAGGAGGCAGTACAAATGAATCAAAATATGAGTTAGAAGGGAACATACAAACTAAGAAAGTAAACTGTATCTTCATCTGACTCTTTATCTTCCTATCGTCCGTGACAACATGGAACTTTTTGTTTAACTGTATATGAAAGAAAACCTGGAACTTGTTAGCATTTCTGATCAAGCATTTATCTTCCTAAGAACTTCATTTTATACACAGTTCAGGCAGATTTCAGATAGTTTTCCTAGAGCACAAAAATCACAGAAACTGACATTTTTGACAAAACATGTAAGTCTTCCTTCCTTAAGATAAAGAAAAATAATGTGTTTTCAGAATCCTCTTTTAACAACCAGCATCTACAAAGTCCCTTCAGACTTTGTAATTGGAGCATTTAATTTTTCTCCGACCAGTCAAAGAAACATTAATACCCTAAATACAAAAATACATGAGGGATTTCATATGCTGTTTTTTTTTTTAAGATTTTATTTGACAGAGAGAGAGAGAGAGAGAACAAGCAGGGGAGCGGGAGATGGAGAAGCAGGCTCCCCACTGAGCACGGAGCCCTATGTGGGGCTCGATCCCAGGACCCTGGGACCATGACCTGAGCTGAAGGCAGTCGCTTAACTGACTGAGCCACCCAGGTGCCCCTTCATATGCTGTTTTATCTCTGCTTTCATTCATTCCCTTTGGTCCAGAATTTCATCAGAATTAGATCATTTCACTCTGATAAAAATACATTGAAAATAAGTACAGGAAAAAGCTTGTAATGCCAGTGGTTCTTAAGCTTTTTATTGTGTACAAGACTTGGAGAGTTTCATCTAAATGCAGATTCCTCTGTCCCCAGAAGGTCTGATTCAGCAGACTAGTTAAGGACCCAGAAATCTGCATTTTGGGTAAGTTCCCTAGATGATTCTGATGCACTTGGTCCAGAGACCACATATGATGAACATTCCTTTAAGTTTATTCTTCCAGAGACTAAAGAAACAGACTGTAAGGAAACAAGTGAGTCTCAATCGAGAAAATGGGTTCAGTTACTTCTTCTTGACTTTCAAACCCTATGTCAACTCCCTCTATGCACAATACCCTCTGGCTCTGTCTGCCACTTGGTGTTTCTGATATCCCACCAGAGGACCCTCCCTCCAACTATGAAAATCAAACCTGGGCTGCATAAACGGGGCATAATAATCTCTGAATGCTAGAGAGATGCAGAGACCTGTGAGCTAAGACCGACTAAGTTGCATTTGGAGGAGGTGAGGCTCCCAGGTGCCCCTGCTTGTACCTTCCAGTTTGCAGGTGTTAGCATGAACTCAGTTTGCCAGAATTCCCCTAACAATGATTACACAACGCATTCCTAGACGTCACTCTAGTCAGGGGCTTTTTTTTTCCCACACAGAGAACAGAACTCTCCATCTTCTCTTCAATTTCCTCCACATTGTTTTTTTCCTACCGTGTAAAACAGGATAATAAGATGCCATACATTAGTTAAAGTTTAAGAAAGCTAAAAATGTCACAAATGTGCTACCAAGAAAGAAAAGTAAAAGAAGTAAGAAAACTCATGAAGATTTAAGAGGGAGAGGACAGCAATTCCCTTCCATGTCTGTCCGTCTGGACCACTGCTTGCTCAAATGGTAAGGCAAAGTCCACGATGAATTTTATTCCCAGAATGCACCAGTTTATTTTATCATTTTGATGTACTAATTTATCTCCTTCAACTCATATTTGTCCTCCCCACACTTTTCATCAGTCAGGCATGCACAGTAGATCACTCTCAAAAGTCACACAGATATATTCATTGCTATAACATTTTCAAATAGTTGTGGATATTCTTCTTTAATACAACACCAAAACTCTTTAAGTGGTAGTTTCTTAAAGGTTAGTCATGATTTTAATCTGAAGCCAACAATATCAGTGAACTTTCCATACTCTGTTGCATTAAAACCAATTGATCTATCTTGCAATTTGAAGGGATCTATTATCTATGCTTGATGCTGTAAATTTTTTTAGCAATGATTCACTGGGAGTTAAACATATCTTCAAAATAGTAACACATTTTGTTATTTAATATCAAAGAAAACCCACATCACATTAGTTAATATCAGTATCCAACTCATTAGAAAAGTCTTTACGTATTAGGAAAACATCGAGCTCATAAGCATAAATTTTCCAAAACTCTAAATTCACTTGCAAACTTGAATTTATCATCATCAACAAATACTATCAGTTCTTTTCCTTGAAGTGACAGGCTTACTTCATTCTTTTTTGAAAAAACTATCTGCCAAATACCCAGATGCCCTGAAACTGAAACCATAGTTTATCTCACAGTTGTTATTTCAAGTAAATATAATGTTCCATAGCAGCTCAATCACAAATCCTATCCCTGGAGACAACCATAATATTTGAGTATGCCGCAGAAGTACTTAGGTATACTTCCCATTTCATCACACA